AACGCTCATTCATGATTTATTGAATGACATTGAAGAAATTTTGGCTTGCAATGAGCATTTCCTGCTATCAACATGGTTAGAAGATGCCAAGTCAAGTGCTACAAACGATCAGTTATTTTTCCTTAAATAATTTAAACATCATTAATCCAATATGATAAGCTGGTTTTTGATCTTTTGAAAAAACTATGCATTTTTTGCATTCATTTCTTGAAGTTACGAATCGTTATCTACTATCGATAATAAATGAAAAATAATATTTTTGAATAGTTATCAGGAGATTTTAAATACATTATCAGGAGTCCTAAGTAAGAACAGTATTTCGTTGTTAAACTGAACCAATTCACTTAGATGTATATATATATATATATACAACACATATTATATATATATATATATTATATATATATATTAGAGCGGGTCGATTTGTATGGGCCAAAAAAAGTCGCATAGGCACACATCATTTTCGGATACTAGGGATCAAAATAAGATACTTTGCTAAAAAAACTATATCTTAAAAGGAATTCTGATGTCCCGTCCCAATCACCCAAAAATAATGGTTTAAATTTGAAAAATTCCATTTTGACCCATTTAGAGTGCCCCAATCGCGTCCAAATGTATGACCCCCATTAACTTTGGAAAGTTGATTCACCCATGCCGTGGTTTTTCCCTTAGGACCTCCCCTGAGCGGTTATATTACTTTTATATCATTATAAACATTACAAGGTGATACTCTGAGTTAGTGATATTGACACACTCATGAATTCAATACCCAAATTTAGCAATAATTCTCAATATTACGGAAGATAATTAAAAAAACAAACTTACCGAATTGAATAACCAGGCAATATGAAATAGGGAATATTTCATACTGAAGAATCATCAAATACTGATCTTAAAAACAAATAGTGTTTTCTTAATAATTGTTTTCATTTGAAGGAAAGGGTCCGTTTTGAATACAACGCACGAAATCAAATAACCTTATGGGGTCCAAATGGTGAAATTGTTGACTATGCGAATAAACAGTGGTCAGGTGAGTATTTATTTTAATTTATATTTCCGCAGTAATATAAATAATATAAAGTAATATCAAAATTATTTTATTTTTACAATTTTACATCTATTAATTTCAATTACATATTAGGTATAGTGTCAGACTATTTTAAACCCAGATGGACAATATTTTATGACGACCTCATTAAGGCTGTAAAGAGTAACGTTACTGTCAATGAAAATGCAATGCAAATGCGGATTTTTAAAGAAGCTGAAGAACCATTTACGTTTTCTCGCAAGGTGTATCCAAGACGTTCTACAGGTTGGTTAACATTATGATTTTATATACTTTAATATATGTCCGATTATACTTTTAGCAGAAGCTCGTAATGCTTGCGAAGTTATTGACAAAGCCTGTAGGAAATCAATATTTACATCTCCCAATACAATATTCAAATAAATCCTCATTTTGCCTATGCAGATTAATTCAAAATGTTATAAAAAATTTCAGGTCGCGCGATCGAAGTATCAAGGCGCATTTTTAACGACTGGATGGTTATAAAATCTGTGTTTCAGATTTGAATAAATAAAGTATTAAATGTTATTTTATATTAAACATGTATCCATGAGTAATGAGATTATTATGGTTAAAAAAAAAATAAAAATCACAATGGTTAATATATATAAATATATTATAGAATATTTAGCTTAATTCTATCTTTTATAGCTTTTTAAAAAAGGAATGAATTTATCGGTCATTTTTAATCATTATTAATACCGATAACATCTGAAATAATGATATTATATTGTGATTTATTTTTTATTGTTACCTACCGTTACCGTAAACTTAGATCATATACTTTTCAACAATACGAGTATTCGATATTAATCTTCCTTCAACATATTCATATTTGAATATTAATCCTCAATATTTTTAAAGACAGTGAAATATCAGTATTAAGAAGAAAAGCCAAAAGATAGTTTGAACCTCGCAAAATACATAATTGTGTTCTACAATTTTAAAAATTTATAATAAAAAATCGATTACTTTTATTACTCATGCTTATAATATATTCCGTATTAAATTAGATTAGTTTGCAACATCAATAATGCTAATTGCCAATTGTATTTCAGAACTAAAAATAATACATTAATTTAATTAATAATAAATCGATATCAAGAGAAAAACAATTGAAAGTTTGATTTAAAATTTAAATTAATATATGCAAGATTTTTATTGTTTCTTCGATATTATAAATGACTGTATTGTCACTTCAATAAGGTAGTAAGACAACTATATCAAAAATGTCCACTGTCATTTTTTTCTTGATCATGAAAATAAATTCAGTTTATAAATTTAACTGTTATTTTTATTTGTGTGTGTTCGGCAATTACTTATTAATAAACCGGCTTTGCTTTTAATTGGTTTTAGACAAACATCCAATATGTTAAGAGTGTCATTTTAATAAAAAGCGAAAAATCATTAATAATGAAATATGGTTGACAGAGATTTGAATAAATATAAGTAACAATCACAATTTTAATCACTTTTAATTTTATCAATGTACTCAATCCGTTCAAGTAGCGTGGGGTGGTCGTTGTTGAACATCGTGAATAGCCAATCGTCAACTGGAAACGTTAAATTATTCTGGCTGATTTTCAAAAGAGCCAGCTTTAGCTGGTTGCCTAATTTCATCTTCACTGCAAACGCGTCTGCTTCGAATTCGTTGTAACGAGTGTACCAGGTGAAAAAGAAATCTATGACACGTTGATACGGAGCCATCACATATTGTTGTATAATAATGGAACCTATGATCGGAGGTTCGAGACCTTCAGGAAAACCAAATGCTTGATATAATGGACTATAATCTATCATGGAATTAAATATCACAAATGTTAATAGTCCTGCTAACTGTGACAGCACCATCATACTATATATATGACTATGTTTCCAATGACCGAGCTCGTGGCATAATATTGCTAGTATTTCATCATTTTCATAAGGAAGACGTCCATCGACTTCGTTAAGCAATGTATCGTATAGTATTATACGCTTAGCTCCAAAAGTTCCTGTAAAATATGCGTTTTCATGACCAGAACGAGTCGAGCCGTCAACAATCAAAACTTGCGATAGTGGAAAATTTACAGATGAAGCTAGCTGCTCTATAGATGTTCGCAATGGTCCATCCGGCAGTGGCGTGAATTTATTAAATTCGGGATCGATGAATTTTGGAAAGATGAACGCCATCAAAATCATTATTACAAATGTAAATCCCCAAAGCCAAATATGTGCATGTTCTCCGCCGTAATGAAGAATGTACATGATCGTAGTCAGTATAGGCACAAAAATTATCAGTTGTAATAAAATTATTTTTAATCCGTCTTTTACGAAAATCCAAATGTTTGATTATTGAAACCGTGTTTTTCTTCTATGACGAATATATAGTATATAGCAAGAGGGAGATTGATTATTGTCGAAACTATGCTATCGATAACAATAAAGAAATCGTTATGGGAAACAAGTTATCAGTTTTGAAACCAATGGAAACCGCTATTTTGGTAGCTGTTTTCCAAGAGGAATATAATCCATGCCTAAGCAACGAAGCTATCTCCAAACATGTTCCAAACAGCATTTCAAAAATTGAGAACTTTGCTCGATCTATTGAATATAAACGCGACTTTTCAAAAGTATCCGATTTGAAAACATTTTTGATTGCATCTGGTGGTTTGGGAGTAGTTTTGTATACTCGAATCTAAAATTATACAATTGTTGTGAAAAATAATTTAAATATGCATTGCTAGTTGTGCAGAAATATCTTTTTAATATCACTTTTGAGAAAAATGTAATTTTATTAAATGTCGATTTAGAATCATTAATAATTCACCTGTCGGTATGTAAGATAAATTTCCCATGCGGTATCCAATGCTACATAAGCCATTATTCCGTATAAAATCATTTTTTGAGAAAATATAACCATCTTGAAAAACCAATTTTTTTTAGAAAAAAACCTAATACGTTAGTAAATGATATGCTATTGGCCTGAACTTTACCATGGTATAATTTTTTTATGCTTTAAAAGCATTTTATCAAAATAATTTAGAATTTATAACATATTAACAATAAAAATTTTACCTTTTTGGATTTTTTGTTTTAATTGACATTTGATAAAAAATTAAATATATATTTGAAACTTCAATGTAAGAAATTAAATTAAATTTTATAACGCGTATTATAATGATAATAAATAGTAGTCCACCCGAAGGCAGGTCCTTGGTATGAGAGCACCACAAATCAAATAATTTCCTTCCCTTTTCTTGTTTATTATTCTCATTACCGTATTATTACCATTAATTAATACTCCCATACTTCCTGGTCCTGTAGTTCGGTTTTCAGTTCCTTGTATTTTCTCTTCTCCTTTTCCTTTAAGTACTTCTAATTTACCTTCGACGACGTAGTGCAGGAGGCACTCTTTTTGTAGAATGGGTCGGATTCAGTTTCCTTTTCTTTTCAGGATGGTTCTCAGTAGAGTCCTTTCTTCGCCAACTCTTCTCGGGACTTCTTCATTTGTTATCTTGTCTGTCTTGTCTTCACTTTATCTTCTGCATTCGTCTCCAGCACCTAACATTTCAAAACTCTCTTAATAGTTTTTGTTTGCCTTTCTTGTCTCTGTCTCTGAGTCCATGTCTCTAATCCGTTAATTAACTAATTATTTATATTAACTACTTTTACATGTATTCATCATTTATTCCAAGATTTTAATATGCTTTTTACATACTGAGCATTTTGGTTAGGGATAGAAGAGTATTGCAAAAATTAGTAAGAAAGAACAAGAAATATGTAAAAATAAAAATCCATTCCAAAAATATTGTTCTTTTTTATAAAAATGTAAATTGTGGCATGGTTGTGGCATAAGTATAATTTGATTCGTGATCGCAATATGGTTGAGCTTGCAAATACTCTATTTGAATATTAAAAGGCTTGAGAATATTCTCTGCACTTTTTGAGACTGTTATTGTATTCTGGATACTAAAGATAAAAGAATATATTGTTATTACTGATCTCTTAAGGGGTAGATCAATATCGTAGATCATCACGATCCATGTAGAATTGGCACCATTGGGAGATTTAACATTAAATCTTACACATTTGTTACAAATGTTGGTAATTAAACATTCACTTTTTGTTTACTTTATTTTTTAACTTCTCGTAGTGTAAGTTATATTAATCGTCCAAAAATCAAAAGTAAAAATTTTTGCATATCTTCAGGTTTCTGAGGTTCTGAACATTTTGGCATACCTCAGAAAAATGTATGTGTGGAGAAAATTTTTCGTCGACGATTTCGGGCGTATAGATTGGCCGATTTGAAAAATTCAAAAAGCAATCGATCCCTATTCATAAGAAGATGTGCTGATTAGTTTATGGAAAAAGCAGGTCCAGCGGCTTTAGAGGATTGGAGTAAAAAGTGCTAAAAATGTTAGTTTTTAAGAGAACGGATCAACCGATTTGAATGATCCAAAAAACATTCGATTTGTAAAGATGGGGGGAAGTGGTGGTTAGATCTTGGCAGAGGCAAGTAGAAGTGGTAGTATTTGAAAGAACTAAGCATCCAATTTGAATGATTTAAAATACTTTCTGCTTGTATTGACGAAACAATTGCTTTGGGAACAGAAATTTGTTTCAATTTTTCTTTTAATTTTCAAGAAAATTTTTTTTTGAATATTCAAAAATAATTCGGATTTTAATTCTAATTCTAGCTAAAGTTCTAAATATCATATACATACATCAAATAATTATAATAATCTATTTCAAAACACTTAATATTTTTCGAATATTTAGTAATTAAGGTACGGAAAGTTCCAGCAATTTCCTTAAGGCACGATGCCATATACCACTAAATAACTTCCCGTAGGGCAAGTTATAGTAATCGCAATAAAATCGAAAATGAAAATTTTTATATATCTCTACGTTTCAGAGGTTTTTGAATATTTTGGCAAATCTTAGAAAAAATTGATGTATGTGTGTGTGTATGTGTTTGTGTGTGCGTGTGTGTATGTGTTTTCGGATACAAATTTTCATCGACGATTTCGGGAACACGGATGAAGCGATTTGAATAATTCAAAAAACATTCGATTCGTATTGATAAGGAGACGTGCTGGAGGGAGCGTCCGATTTGAATAATTTAAAAAACATTTCACTCGTATTAACAAGAACTGATCAAATTTTCATGAAGGCAGGTCTAGCGGTTTCGAAGATCTAGTAAAAAAAATAAAAAAAAGCCATCTGGCGGTCAAAAATGATCATTAGACATATGCACATCAATTTATCAGATATTTTATAGAGATTTTAACAATAAGTATAAATTTTGTTTACATTCCCATGGGTTCCTATGTTTATTAAATTTGCCTTAAGGCACGATGCCATGCGCCCCACTAATTGATTATTATTTTAAATTCGGTTACTAAGGGATCGTTCAAGTATTACGTAAGCAGATTTAGTACAATTATTTACCCCCCCCCCTCCCCCTTTGTCATCAAAAGTAAGCAAATTTCTTACCAACAATATGCAAAATAAGCAAATCAATAACCCCCCCGCCCCCCTATAGTGCTTACGTAATACTTGAACGGCCCCTAAATGCTTGAATGTAACATGTATTTTTACTTAAAATATCTAACAATGAACTTTAATACAATTAGAAATTAATAAGAAAAATCGGTATCAGGTATATAGGCAGTCCATGGCAAAGCCCAGGGGTCTACGGCACAAAAAAGTTGAGAACCTATGATTTAAAGTAAGTCTCCTTTATAATGCACAAAATGTTTGGGAACCTATGATTTAAAGTAACTCTCCTTTACAATGCACAAACTATTATATGCGGTCGTCTCGTCGCTTGCTGTATCTTCTTCTACGTGCGACGGGGACCGAAGCCCGCGGCGCCACAGGCAAGTTGAATGCTGCATGTGGCGAGTGGAGGGGATGTAAGCGCCAGCGCCAGCGCCAGGCAGGGCATACCTCGCTATTCCAATTCAAGCGTTTATTTTGGTTCTTGGCGTTCGACGACGCGTACGGCCGGTGATTTGATGTGTGTTGTGATTTGTTGTGTGTCAAATAGTTACAATGTTTTACACTAAAATCATGTCGTAAATTGGAACTGTACAGCACATTCCTATATCGTGATGATAGTGATTTATTATTTTATTCGTATTCATTAATTAATAGCCATGGCTCTCTACAACCGACGTGCGTGGACACTGTTTCTAGTAGTGTTATGCTTGTGTGAGTTGCTTATTAAGTCAAGTTATGCGTTGCAAGATCAAGAATGGATTCTTTCGAACAAACCAGCCGTCAGTTCAAATTTAAATAATATAGGTAAAATATTATATACATTTGTTTATATGTGTGTGTGTGTGTGTGTGGATACTTTTAAGTGATCATTTTAGTTTTACAGTAGAAACTCAATTAACCGGACAAATTGTTGTCGATGGGCGATCGGATAATCGAATTTTGTGTATTTATTAAAAATATCAAATACATACATAAATATCAACGAAAATCAATACTCATTAAGAAATTAACACTTTCTTATGTATATACACACATAGTTTCTTAGATTACATTACATACAAATACTAAACTGCAGCATTTATCATGCAAAAATTCGAATTGTAGGTATGTACATAGTATTTAGTATTTATATGTATGTACTACATACATATAAATTGGTTGCAATTGGGTGTCCAAATAATATACACACATAGTTTCTTAGATTACATTACATACAAATACTAAACTGCAGCATTTATCATGCAAAAATTCGAATTGTAGGTATGTACATAGTATGTAGTATTTATATGTATGTACTACATACATATAAATTGGTCGCAATTGGGTGTCCAAATAATATACACACATAGTTTCTTAGATTACATTACATACAAATACTAAACTGCAGCATTTATCATGCAAAAATTCGAATTGTAGGTATGTACATAGTATTTAGTATTTATATGTATGTACTACATACATATAAATTGGTCGCAATTGGGTGTCCAAATAATATACACACATAGTTTCTTAGATTACATTACATACAAATACTAAACTGCAGCATTTATCATGCAAAAATTCGAATTGTAGGTATGTACATAGTATTTAGTATTTATATGTATGTACTACATACATATAAATTGGTCGCAATTGGGTGTCCAAATAATATACACACATAGTTTCTTAGATTACATTACATACAAATACTAAACTGCAGCATTTATCATACAAAAATTCGAATTGTAGGTATGTACATAGTATGTAGTATTTATATGTATGTACTACATACATATAAATTGGTCGCAATTAGGTGTTCAAATAATATACACACATAGTTTCTTAGATTACATTACATACAAATACTAAACTGCAGCATTCATCATGCAAAAATTCGAATTGTAGGTATGTACATAGTATTGTAGTATTTATATGTATGTACTACATACATATAAATTGGTCGCGATTGGGTGTCCAAATAATCGCAAATCCTTATAACCGAGGCCCGGATAAACGAGTTTCTACTGTATTATAAAGATCGTGATTGTTAACCGATTTTACTACAGAATAATTCGAAATCCTTAAAACATGGTTCAGGTTATTACGCGAAATGCAATTGTTTTCTAAGTATTTTTTACATTTTGGTCTGCTACATTTTTATTTCTTTTATTAACTTCCCGTAGGGTAAGTTATTGTAATCGTCAAAAAATCAAAATTGAAAATTTTTGCATTTCTCGACGTTTTGAAGGTTTCTGAACATTTTGGCATACCTCAGAAAAAATGGTGTGTGTGTGTATGTATGTATGGATACAATTTTTCGGTCACGTTTTCGGGCGCACGAATCAATCGATTTGAATGGTTCAAAAAACATTCGATTCCTATTGATAGGGAGATTTTGGCAAAGGCAGGACCTGTAGTTACGCGGATAAAGAGCAAAGAGTGCAGAAAATAGAAATCGAGTTTTTGAGAGAACGGAGCATCCGTTTGAATGATCTAAAAAACTTGGGAGAAGTGTTTATTAGTTTTTGGCAAAGGCAGGCCCAGCCATTTCGAAGATACGGAGCTAAATGTGCAAAAAATGGCAGTTTTTGAGAGAACTAAGCGTCCGATTTAAATGATTTAAAGAACTTTCTGCTTGTCTTAACAAAATAATTGATCTTGGAAAAAAAATCGTTTCAATTTTTTTATTTTATTTTTTTTTTCTATATCGAAAATAATTTAGATTTTATTTTTATTTCTGACTAAAGTTCTAATATACTTTAAACAAATAATTTCAACTTTGCAATTCAGTTTATAAAATTATTATAAATATTAGACCATGTTACAATATTTATAATAATCTATTTGTAAACATTTAATATTCCTCGGACATTTCGTTACGGTACGGGAAGTTCCAGCAATTTGCATTAAGGCACGATGCCATACACCCTACTAGTTTTGGTTTTTACTTTGTACAATTTAATTTTGTTTTCTATAGCCTGATTTTTGGGTCGACTTTTGCGCAAATAGTATGTACTATAATAAAAATTGTATTTTTTTAGTTTATGTAATATTTATGAGTCAATAATCTATCCGGTAAAATCATATAATTCGTAATCACCAAAAAATCTAGTAGTATTCTTCAGTGTCTTTAGATCCAAACCAAACTAAACCGAATCAGCCAAGTGCGTGCTTGCTAACCCTGACTGCTGAAAACTTCGGTTGGAATAGTTATCTAAAAACATCATAAACTTGAATATTGCAGGATTTTACACTGAAAAGTATCAGTACGTGTTGTTAAATTAATTTTACAATAATTATTTTATGGAGTTAATTTGTATTCTATGTTCATTAAATTAGTTTCTATTGTTCGACACTATAAAAGTTTTGAGTAAATTGCTGGTTTAAAGTTTTGAGTGCAAATTTTTGGTTGTATTATGGATTTTTTATTTCTTTTATTAATAACAATCAGAACATTAATTACATTCTATGAGTTATTTTGATTTACATTAAGGGGCCGTTTAAGTATTACGTAAGCACTATAGGGGGGCGGAAGGGTTGTTGATTTGCTTATTTTGTGTTGACATGGGGGGCAGGGGAGTCTGGTTGATTACGTCATCGGTAGTATTTTTATTTTTTTACATTAATTGCAAAATGTTTACGTAAGCATGGGGGTAGGGGGTAAGAGCTTTGCTTACTTTTGCTGACAAAGGGGGATGGGGGGTAAATAATTGTAATAAATCTGCTTACGTAATACTTGAAGTATTTATATAACGTAGTTATGAAATTTGTTGTTGGGTTATAATTTAACCCTTGTATCTGTGGACTGTATTAGACACGATTTGTTGATATATTAAGTATTTGTTGCAGTTCTTATTACAATCACTGATTTGTTACTAAGTTATAATGAAAGAAGATATATTTATTGGTTATTTACATGTTGTTTTGCGGACTTTAATCTTAGATTGTACAATTAGTTCCATCAAACTATCCGCGGACTTTAATCTTAGATTGTACAATTAGTTCCATCAAACTATCCGCTACTCCTTCTACCAGGGGAACCCGTATAAAACTCAATGCCATGAAGATTGTCACATTCATGGCCAATATAATGAAACCAAAATACGTCCGAACAATTATAGATAGTAATAAATTGTATCTAATATATGATAATTTCCCAGTGGGTAATTACTAAATGTTAGTACAATTTATTGGATCAGTTATAGGTCAAATATTTTTTAAGTCTTCTTAATTCTGGGGTAAGGAGCAGTGGAGCAACAAGTGAGTTGGGGTGATTTTCTCATTTGTAAGGATGATTGGTGTGGATCCGTTTTTATAATGCTTGTATATCATGCACATTTATTCGTCCTGCAGAATTTTATTTCTATCATGCCAGGATTCACCTGTTATCCATTCTGAGTAGTTTTTGATGGCTAGAGCAGCCCCAAAGCTCTATTCAGTACGACCAGATGAGAATTATTATCGTTTTATAAACTATATTTGTTTTCGAGTGCTAATTTTGATGTATATTCGATAAGCCGATAAAGTTAGCTAACTCTGGATTTGATAGTTACAATTTTTGTTGTGATGTGGGGTTCCATACCTAGGTATTCAACATAATTAGAAAATTTTATAATGGCAAAAGCAGTTGCACATCGATATATGAACATAATTTTAGTGAAAGTGCTCAAGGTTGTGCTTCAACCTATAATGCCAAATTCTTTGCAGAAAATTTCGGATTAACCAAAAGACTGGTGATGATATTTTAATGGATATGATTATATCAATTATCTACATATATTGACTTAAATTTTAAATAAGTAATTTTTATCTTATGATGCGGCTTGTTTTTAGAATCAGGTATCAAGCTATGATATCCGATTTTGGTTCAATAGTATTTATGCACACATCTTGTTTTTTATAACAGTTTTACTGACGTCTTTAATTGTCTATGTTTAATCAAATTGTGAGTATTATTATCGAATTACAATTCTTTATAAAGGGAACGCCAGAAACGTTACTTGAATGTTTGCAATCTTTTGTTTCTATACTAAACCTTAAATAACTTTCGAAAATCTTTTACACCGTCTGTACGAAATCTATCTAAAATACAATAGAATTCGCTTAGTATGACCTCGCATATATTGACCAACCGTTTATTATGACGTATTTACACACAATGTTTGGTTTTTATTAAAATTCTTATTTTTTTAAAAATTTCATTTTAATTTTATTGTTTTAAAATGCTTGTTGTAATGACCGACAAGCAATTCCTTTACTTCACAAACCGAAATTCTTTAACAGCCTGAAGATATGAAAATTATATATACAATAGTATTAGAGACTGTCTCTACAATAATATAAAGAGAAAAAACATGCAAAAATAACAAATTGTACTTACATTTAAATATACATTTGTATGTACATAATGCACTAAATAACGTACATTAATTAGTACAAATTTCAACTTCCCGTAGGGTAGTTATTGTAATCGTCCAAAAATCGAAATTGAAATTTTTTACATTTCTCGACGTTTTAAAGGTTTCTGAACCTTTTGGCATACCTCAGAAAAATTGGATGTGTGCTTGTGTGTGTGTGTGTGTGTGTTTTGTATGTCCGCATTTTTTCGTTCACGTTTTCGGGCGCACGGATAAACCGATTTGAAAGGTTCAAAAAACATTCGATTTCTATTGATAGGGAGATGTGCTGATTAGTTTTTGGTAAAGGCACGTCCAGCAGTTACGGAGATAAAGAACAAAGAGTGCATAAAATAGAAATCGAGTTTTTGAGAGAACGGAGCATCCGATTTGAATGATCTAAAAATCATTCAATTAGTAATGCTTAGG